GATTTCGAAAATATTATCCGTTTTTGGATAAATCCACATACACCCCCCTATAATCGAAATCTTTGGTTGCAAAATCAAAATTTTACTAATGAAATTAAATTTTTTTTTCGCGATTTTCAAAATGTTTTGACCGATTCTGATAGTTTTCGAGGTGCTGATTCCGAATATGAAATCAGTTTTTGCAAAAAAAAATTCTTCTGCCCTTGGTACCAAATTGAAGTTTGAAAAATTGCCAACTTTGAAGCTGATTTTAACTATGAAGACGATGATAAATTTGTATTTTTTTTGGTTTGGTATAAAGGTTGTACTTTAGTCTACACAAAGCATTAATTAAAATTATTAATTTCATTCATTAAGTGCCTTAAAATTGCATTTGAAAGTCACGATTTTGGCCAATTTTGGCTGCTCCTGATAGACTGTCTTTTTATCGGAAAAATAATAAGATTTTTAAATTACACCAAAGTAGGTTTGGTTTACTGCTAACCAGGCGTAAATATGAATTTATTAAAAATTATTCTCCTACTTTTTCTTATCTTTTATATATATATATATATATATATATATATATATATATATATACGCGTATATATATGCGTGTATATATATATATATATATATATATATATATATATATATATTATGTCGATTTTTGTAATACTGACACTCAATAAATTTAATTCTATCCATATGTCTTATTTATTTACACAGTTTGAAAAATTATTGGCTCCAAATATTTTTTTCAGTCAAATGGGGTTCGATCTGTCGATCCTCGAATTGCTATTCTGGCCTAAACCGTATCTTTACGACCTCGGCCATTCGCACATTTGGCATACAATATTTTTAGGAAACTTATATCTTTCATTTTAAAAATAAGACTTTATATTTTTAAAAATAGCAGGGAGTTCTGTGTAACTAATTGACCGAGATCGTTAAGTGACCACTACGGTTGTTCAGCGTGCCTCGGTTCAAATCCCGAAGATGCTTGAAAAATCGAATGTATAGTTTTTCATAATTATCAAATATTAGTTCAAAATATTAAATTCAGGTGTCGCATTTCGACCTTGACACTTAGTATATTTCTGAAAAACAAAAAACTCAAGTTTCGCACTTGACTGTAAGAGAGATACATAAAGAGAAAAAAAAAAAAAAAAAAAAAACAGAAAAAAAAGGTAGAGGAAGAACTGGGGAAAGAGAGGGGTAGAGGCAGATGATGAATAAGAGAGATGTGTATGATACATATTCTTTATTAAAATTCAATATTAATACAATATAGGAATAAAAATAACTTTTATCATCAATAACTTAAATAGCCGAGCGGTTTAAGTGACCGCATACTCGGTGAAATAACTCTGGAGGCAGGCACAAGGTGAGACGGATCGAGTCCAGCTGAAGGCGACGACGACCAAACTCTGAAGCAGAAAAAATGGAGCAGTGCTGGTGACCGGCTGTTGGCGAGCGCAAAGGGTCCTGAAACGAACACACCAAGTGATGGTCAACCTGAGGTCCACGATGAGAGAGGTTACACGCAGAGAGACACATTGCGGAAGATGCATGCCGAGCCCAAAAACCCCCACAAAACCCAAGAACCACAACATGCGAAAAAAATACCAAAAAAGGAAAAAAAATGTGAAAAAAAGCGGAAAAAAGGAAAAAAAAGGGGAAAAGAAGGAGGAGGAGGAGGAAGGGGAGGGGAGGAACCAAAAAAAACCCTCCTAAGTCCCAGATCAATTTTTCTCTTTTCTGTTCAGCGTTGAAACTTTTTTATGTTTTTTAGTGTTCCCTCCCACCAATTCCCAAAACCAACACTCGAATGAAATCAAGTCCACGTTGAAATTTTCACAACGAGAAAAAATTACTGGGACTTAGTTAGAATTTTTAACTTTGTCCCAATAAAATTTTCTCGTTGTGAAATATTCAATGTGAGCCTCATTCATTCGAATGTTGGCTTTGGGATAATACAGCATGCATAAATAACTCGTCTGTCTTAATTGAAAAGGTTTCAGAAAATTTGGACTTAGAAAAAAAAATATCTGAAAGGACTTAGAAAAAAAAAATTATTCGAAATAATTATAATCAGAAAATTTGGACTTAAAAAAAAAAATTATTGGAGAGAATTATTTAATTAATCGATGAAATAAAATCATATTAATCGAATCAAAATCGTTTATACGACTTGATAAAACATGTGAAACCTTTACAATTAATCGAGACGAAAATATAAATATAGCTGACTTGAATATTATACAAATTATTGGAAAAAGCCAAAAAAGAAATTCAATAAAACTTGTAAAATGAAATAATAAAAAATGTTTAAAAACTTGAACATTAAAAACTTCAAAACGTTTATAAAGCTCATTGTCATCCTTCAGAAATCGAGTTCAATAATTTTTACAACTTGAATCAAATAATGTACTTGTAATCAAACCTAAATTTTGTCTAATCATTCAAGTCAACTCTTTGAAACTTTGATTGCATGTCTTGATCAAAATTGTTTTTAGCAATAAAAGAATAAAAATCTATCATTTAGCTATGCAGCAATATAATTGAATAAATTTAAAATAAAACTACATTGAAAGACTTTTAAAAGCTGCATTCAATTAACAATTTGGTAAGTCGTATTGAGTATTTGAAATAATTTGATCAAAACCAACAATCATAAATAAGAATGTACGTGCAGTCAATATTGCTACAGGGAAAACACATGATTCTTGATACTAGAAATGTAATTTAAAAAATTGTTTCCGTAGGTTAATGAACAATAGGTGTTATAAGAAAGAGATTTTTGTAACAAAGTAAATTTGTAATTTGTAACAAAATACCATCAATTTAGGAGTTACTTAAGGAAGAGTGCTAGGGCCCTATCAACAAACAAGTATTCAATGCATACAAAAAGCTGTATTGGTTAACTAATAATTTGGTAACAAATATTTAATATAAATAATAATTCCGAATTCCACACAAAAACAGCTCATCGTGTTATTATAGAACAAAAGAATTTCAGATTGACTATTTATGGAATTGTAATAATATAAATTACTTACAACGTCTTTGATACATACGAGATGTACAATTTTTATTGATTTAGAATATGTATAAAAAGCACATATATAAATAAATGAAAAAAAAAACTGAATCAAAATGTTTTCCCCATAATAAATTAAATAAAAACATAGTTTTTTACACATATGTCTGCCATATTAATTTAAAATCATTTATTAGCATAATAGTTGTAGTTGAATGAACAAAACATAAATTGTATTTTATGTACTAAAAATTAATAAATTATACATGATTAAAAAAACTATAATAATCCAAATATTATAATATAAACAATATTTTCAGCAGATATATGTATATACTATAATAATAATGCACGAGCCAGAAAATATTCCAGTAAAGTATATACAGTCTGCTTTATGAATGATATCGGATAACAAAGGGACAAGTTCTCAAAGCACCTTTCAATTAATTTCATTCAATATGAAAAACAAGCATAAAATATATTATTATTGAAAAAAATTATTATTACGAGCAGAAAAAGTAGCATGTAATACAATCTGCATCAGTAATTGTAAAAATTTATTTCTATTGAAATTATAGTTTCACTAAAGATGATAAACAATATTGTGTTGAAGTAAAGATTTTCCAAATTATCTGAGTGCTTTAAATTCAAAATTAAGAAAAACTTAATGCATATATATATATATATATATATATATAAAGTTAAATATTGACTTTTATATATATATATATATATATATATATATATATATATAAAAGTTAAATATTGAATATTTAAAATATTTTAAGTGTATAAGATGTAATACGATAAATGCCTGTATATATCAGAAATATATTCTTTGACTCGCTTTGTATAAAACATGCTTTGCACTTACATCGTTAGATATCCTCTACAGCAGCTCCCAGGGAACATAGTCATTACTCCAACCACCTCTGGAGCAACTGCCAGAAATCTCAGGTACTCGATACAAACTCACTACTTTAAAACCACTACATAACTTTGTCTTTTACATGACATATTGCAATTGTCCGAGTAAAGTCATTACACAATACACAACACACGACTTATGTTAGAGACTTTCGTGAATTTAAAAATCGATAATAAACTCATATCTGTTGAGTTGGAAGTGATAAAGTATAACCTACAAAAGCACATACATAAATGATACATTTTATAATTGCATATATATAAATAAAGGATACATTGACGCTGTAAATAAAATGTTTAATTATAAAATTGATTCAAAATATTATATCCTTATCAAACTATTCAAGGTAAACCTACTTTCTAGCACATATATAAATGATACATTTTATAATTGCATATATATAAATAAAGGATACATTGACGCTGTAAATAAAATGTTTAATTATAAAATTGATTCAAAATCCACTTCCACACTTCCACCCATTTTTTAGCTTTTAATTAACGTTTCACGATAAATTTATTTTATCAAATTGATCTACTAAATTAATTACACGTTTTGATGTACAAATTAACAAAATCCAATCAAGGATTTAATTAAAAACTCTTAATTAAGGCGACGGCATGTTAATTCCATGTTAATTCACGAAAATCTATTTGACAACTGTCGCAATTGAAGTTAACAACATATGTCAAAATAATTGTCGTCTATAATTTAGAGCGCAAAATTCAAACTTTAAATTTAAACTTTGTAAAATTCACTTATATTCGCCAAAAGTGAATGGATTTGTTTGAAATGTATAGCAATCCAAAGACTATTCAAATAACATTTTATAGGTGCTATCTATTGACTTGTAATGTTCTTTTAAGGCATTCAGCATTTGTAACGAAGAAAATATTACAGAATATAATAAATAATAATAAATAAAAAACATAAAAGTAACAAATGTGTGTATATATATATATATATATATATATATATATATATATATTTTTTCAACATAATCACATTCTATTCACAAAAAGTTACTTAAACATAGTTAAAAAAACCAACTTATTTAGGTCTTTTATTTGAACTTATAATTGTCTGTAAAATAAATTGGTCATCTGGTTTGATGACGATTGTGTAAGAATTATCCCCACTTGTGTAAAATTGGTGTTCTTTTAATCCCCAGCTTACTGGGCTATCGTGAAAGCCTTGAACATGTAATGATATCCAAGGTAAATGTGGACGGGATGATGAATATGATCTGTTAAAAAAAAAAACAAAATAGTAAATGAATAATTGGATTGATATTACAGAATTTAGTTATAACATGAAACCAAAATTTAAGACATGTTTGTATCTATTGGCCATAATTTTTTTTGAAACAGATTTCTTAGACGAAATAACTTGGGATATTAAAAAAATCTATTAGAAAATAATAGAGTGAATTAAACCAGTGAAACAAGTCACAAATATATGTTTTTAAATTTAAGGGCAGAAATTTAATTGTATTGTAATTATATATATTTAGTATCCAATATAGTCTTACCTAATTGCATCAAATATTTCTAAAACCTGTGATGCTGAGTAAAATCCTGTAGCTTTTAAATACAATACTTGGCCAAATGTGGTATTCTGTTCCGGAATTTGATAGCTTGATAAGTAATCATAGTTTTCCATGTCTAAACTAGCACCTATGCTATGAATTCCTATCCATTCTAATAATTCAGCATTTGTACAATATTTCACATTTGAGCTTATATCAAGTATTGGAACTTGCACGCTATAATTAGTTCTAGATTCAAATTTTGGTTGGCCTAAATGAACTTTATATTTTAATGAATCAAAATAACTTGCAATGGATGATGGACAAATTGATTTTTCATTTGGAATCCAAGCCAAAATAACCGACATAGGCTGTAAATTGTTGGAAAAGCACCATTTAACGCGATCATAATATTTCTTCCCAGGCGTCAATAAATCAGATTTCAGATCTATATGGACAACTGCAAAAGAAAAAAAAAACAAAGTTGATATTTTTATAAGAAATTTTATTCAAAGTATTATACATATTATGCTTAAAGTAGGTAAACAAACAGTGTATCAAATAAATATTAAATTACAAATATATCACAGAATATAGTATTTTTACAGTTCAATTCTGCGGAAAGGAGTTATATCCAAAAATAAGTTATTTTCTTTAATAAATCGTTTGAAACAATCCAATTCTACTTGTGACACACGCCAGCTTTCCAGCTCAGTGAGTATACTTAAATTCGGACATATTTCTACGAGCTTATACGCGGAGGCTATGGTTAGTCTATCAGAATGCAAAACACGTAGTTCTTCTAGATAAATCATCGGATTTTTAGACAAAACCTTCTCAATAAGTTCGTCTGATGTCGGAATAGAAGTTCCAAAATGGATATATTTGACTTTGAAACAATTAGACAATAAAAAGTCCAAATGTTGTGGCAAACATTCAGCAATGCATGTTAATCGTTCCAAATTCATGAATGGCGGAATATCTAACCTTTTGTTTGTATATAAGGATGTTGACTGTATCATTTCACAATTATAAAATGTTAGTGTTTTGAGATCAGGACAAAACTGGCTTATATACATCAGGGCATTTAAATCAATCTCATCTACATGTTCCAAATGCAGGGATGTTAAATTACATCCTTTTACTTGAAGTAAATGTTTCACTTGATCAGCAAAAAAATCACATGAAAGAAGTTTCAAATCATTCAATCGCTCAAAAGATATCAAAACCATTAAATCACTCAATAATGTGTTATGAAAAATAGATACACTAGATATCAAAGGACACATATCCGCTAGAAGCTGCAAATGATTTGTTGGAGCGTAGCGGCTGACAAATTTTTTTAAACCAAATGTTTGAAATTTATGATTGAATTTAATATATTCTAAAACTCTACCCAATTCATCGCAGCGCCCTAAGTCTTCAATGTGTTCAAGATTCAGTAATACATTTACATATCCTTCAAGTGTCACTGAAGTTCTATATAACTGAACATAGCGTAATTTTTTCAAATTTATCAGTATATCGATACTGTCATCATTTATCAATTTCGAAGAAGACAAGTCAATGCTTTTCAAATTTGGACAGTGCTCACATAGGCATAAAAGTATATTATCAGTACAATCATAATTTATGGACAAGAATGATAAATTCTTCATATTTGAAATTCCTTTAACTACAGTAGGTTCCATGTCAAACGTTTTCCATCCTCCAGACATTGAGCCTAAGTTTAAGCTCAATAAACCTGTCAATTTTGGCAATTTTTTGTAAAAAACATGCCTCATTACTTTTGGTACATCATCAAAATTTAAATTAGTCAAGCAGGGAGATAACAGAACTTCAGATAAAGTAACTGCTACATTTATCTGGTTTAAAAAGGTAGCCATAGAGGTTCTTAAATCCATGGCACGTTTAGTTCGTTCTATTAAATCCGGGATAGCTTTGAACATTTCTTGACTGAGGCGGTCATAAAGATTGTAAGGCATGTTATACTGAATTATGTCACTGAGATATTTTATTACACTTAGTAAGATATCAGAAGCATTTCCAGGCTCGGCCTTGGACATGTAAGTGATTTTTGGCATGATGTTTTGTCCTATTAAACATATCCAGGATGTTAAATTTTGGAGAGCAATATTCTCCAAGGACATTGGCTGCCTCCTCTTAGGCATGATTGTATTCAATTATTGAAATAAAACCTTTTTTATTACGAACTTAATATTATTATGGTTTCATCAGGTCACAAATTCTGCAAATATAATATTGCTATTGGGTGAATTGTTTACGAATTAATTATTTTGCAAAACATATGCAACTCAAAAAAAAGTTAATTCAGATCTGTTTGAGTCTTGGGGTTTTATTTGAACAAATATTTGATTAATATCTCTATTCCTAATACTTTTCAAAAGCAAAAGAAAGGGAAATAAGTCAATATCAAATAACAATGGTCAATTGCATGAGCTTTATTTTTGAATTATCAGCAAATATTGACAAACATTTGCTATTAGTTAGCAATTTAATTTAAATTGTTATGAGCAAAGTTTTAAAGAAAGTTAATTCACCATATCAAATAACTTAATCCAAAATTTGCCTAAATTTAAATAATATCATTCAAAAAAGTAACAAATATATAAAAGAATATTTCAGTAAAAACTTTTTAACAACACACAAGAAATTGCCAGGTTTTATAAATTGTACTTACTATATCGATAATCTTCTTTTTTACAAAATTGTGATAATTTTCCTTCTAGTCCTAATTCTTGATAGTCTCTTTTAATAAAGACAAAACTAATTTTCCACATGGAGTTATAGCCAAACAATTGTCTGTGTCAATTTGAGTGTTTATACTTAGAACATGTAATTGACCTTAAAAAAAATCACAATAAATCAGTATCACATTTCTTTATAAATTTTATTTCATATTTATAGTAGAATAATTTTATTATATTTACTGAAATAACATATAAAATATTTGCATCCAAGTTTAATTTGCAAGTGAATATATGAACAATAAGATGTTTCCTTTGTGAATATAAATACTTATTTTCAGAAATATACTTGAACCTACATGAGTATAGTTATGCATACAAACATGATCTAAATATAAATATAAAAGTGATCTCAGTATCCATATTATATATATATATATATATATATATATATATATATATATAATTATATATCATGTTCAATGATTGTGCTTTCTTCACAATTTATTTTGATTTTTTTTTAGTCAAAAGTAAATTTTTTTTTACTTTTTGTACCTTTTACACAAAATTTAGTGAACTAACGAGTATATAAATTTTTGCTAAAATTTAATATTGTTAAATACATATTAAATTTACAATTTTCCAAAAGTAGTTAATTAAGTATTATAACATCCATATTTATGTTCGAGGACAATTTATCTACGCAAGACCTACTTATTTATTAGAGTTTAACATAGGATTATACATTTGATTAATATTAACTTGGCTATTGTAAAATCTATCAGATCATCATAGTTACAGTACTTTCACAGATATGTTTCAAAAAAAAAGAGATGAAAATAGGGTAATAATTCGAATGTATATAAATCTTATCTCATAATTACCAGCACATAAAATAAACAAACTTTTCATTAATTATTTAGGTAACTTGAATTATTTGTTTGATCTTTCATAGTATTTCTTCTGATAAATCTTTGATAATTGCGTATGCTAAACAAAATTTATAAAGAATATTATGAATTAATCTTATATTCATGATAATATTACCTTGATTTACATATCCCCTTGTAAAGTTATGGTTCACAAATTCTTCAACTTTAACATTGTCAATCTTATAATATTCACAATCTTTTGTCAACAAATCATTAATCTCCGAAGGTAAACTCTGGGATCCAGTATCGGGAAGAACAATAGACACCTGAAAATGATGATCTCAACTTAATTTCAACCAAATAAATGAATATCGATTTATATTGAAGACCATTTACGCAGTGGCTGATATATTGGTTTTTCAATTCTAAGTTTAGCTTACAAGATATTTATAGAACACAGGAACACTTACCAGATGATTGAAGTAATGTTTGCCAATTGTATACGTGACATGCTTTTTTGCAGATTCATTTTTGTAAGAACCATTTATTATTTTATCACTTATTTCTGGAGGATTGAATTTCCACACTTCTGGACACAACATTTTAGAGCACTTTATAATAAATGACAGACTGGAGAGCTAACCTCACTTTATTGATCTTGCTTATCCGGTAAAATGTCACTTTAGAGGAAATATAATTTTGAATTCTGTAGAGAAGCTGTTGATATTAATTTAACGGTTAATTGGCAATTATAATTATAATGGCTCATTATTACTTATTAAATTAAATTATTATTAAATCCTTGCGTAGCTTAATAATTTTTTGCATGAATTTCAAAATTATTTAGAAGTCGTATGAATTTAAATTTGTGTGACCATGTGTAAGTCTTAATGACGAAATTATAGATCAAACAGATACAGTCAAATATCTAGGTTTACACCTGGATAAAAGACTAACCTGGAAAGAACACATTAAGAAAAACAGGAAGCAGCTTGTAGATGCCAGAAGAAGATTTTATTGGCTCCATAATAAAATTTACCTCTATAAAGCCATCATTAAACCAATTTGGACATACGGGTTACAGCTATGGGGATTAACTTCTAATTCAAATGCTTTTCAAAAGATTTCAAAACAAATTATTAAAAGAAATATTAAAAGTACCAAAGTATGTTCCAAATTGATGGTTAATACACAAAGCACCGGCACTAGCACAGTTAAAGATGAAATAATTGATTACTCATACAAATATAGAAATAGTCTAGCTGATCACCCAAACTTGCTCGCCAAAAAACTTTAGAACAACTCTACTAGGGCCAGATTGAAAAGAAAATTTCTACTGCATTAATCAACAATAGATAAGACCTTCGAAAAAATCACTGGCAATGGTCAGATGATTTGTATTTTGCCAACGCCTTTAGTTTTATGTCTAATATTTTACTTGTTGTCCGTTTCAGAACAGTTGTAGAAATTAATAAAATAATAAAAAATGTGAGTCCCACAGATGACACACAATCAAAGCATTCAGATGGTGAAGGATATTTAGATAAAAATTAAACTATTTAACAGGCGTATAAGATATATATTATTATAGTTTTCTTTCTATTTCCGTTTTATTTTTATCAAATATTCAAAGATTATTTGATAAAAAGATGCATTATTTTTAACAAAGTTATTGCCGTTTTGATAAAGAAGCGAAACAATATTACAAACTATCATTGCTTTAGCCTCAACATAATTAATCTAAAACTATAATTAAAAATATTTTTTTATATATTTAATAAGAACTATTATGCAATATCTTAAGTAAAACAAATTCCATATTAAAATTAGTCGGTAACAAGTTTAGTATCATCTACCATAGTATCATTTAGTACCAGTCGATTTAAAGGTAAATCTAATCTAATAAAGGCACATATGAGTTTCGGATTCTAGGAATCAAAATAAGATACTTTTTTCAAGAAACCATACTTCTAAAATAAATTCTGATTTCCGTGCATTGACCCAAAGATAAGGGTTAAATTTTGAAAAACCTTTTAGGGGGGGGGGAGTTCTAGAGGGTGAACCATGGGAGGATATAAATAATATACATCAAAGAATAAAAAGCAAAGATTTATAATTTAATCTTAAATTCCAAACGTTTCGACATTCAATTTAATGTCATCATCAGTGGATATTAAGGTTGGTAGGTTACATCTAAAGATGTGTACACGACACTAGAAATTAGCACTAACATTTTTACATCTAACTTTTCAACACCATGAATTTTTTATCATTTTTTGTATGATGTAAAAAGAAAAATGATAGTTTTAGTTGACAAAAATGTATGTAAAGTTAAGTAATTTCTGTCACGACTGCGTACTTTGCAATCTCGCAGTATTATTATATAATATATTATATATATAGAGATATATAGATAGATATATATAAACACACATATACCATATACCATATACCATATATATATATATATATATATATTATATATACATATATATATATTCCTCTTTCATCAAAGACTTTTCTATTGTATAATTATTTATTAATATATTTATTATAACAAATAGAAAAAAATGTACAAAAATAAATTAACAAATATTCAGCTATAAAATAATATATAAAAAACAACATAAGAGAACAATTAATTCATAAAATAATATACAATATTATTATGATTAACATATATTACAAAATGACTAGATCGTTGGAATAGATATATTTTGCCTAATACTGGTTTAAGAAAATGCTTTGGTTTATTTGCTTAAATAAATAGGTAAATTAGCTTATTTCAATAGACTTCATTAGAATTATACTTTAGGAATTTAGTTGCAATGCAATCTGCTCGACATGCGTTTAAATTGTCGGAACGCGCGCTCAAAGCTAAAGTCACTATAGCGATTAATTATTGTTATAGTTTATTAATATTAATATTATTATTATTAATCATCTATGCGTAGTAAAATATTGTTATATTTGGCCAATTCATGCGAGTATTACTGACGCTGAATCGAGAGTACAATCAGAAGACAGCATGTTTATTTCGAAATTCTTATCTCGGTGGCTTTGGTCTTTTTCGTTTCCTCTTTCGTGCAATGGAATATTTCGCAAACGGCTTGAGTC